CCCTTAGATTGAAAGCCCTCTTTTGAAAAAAAAAAATCCAAAGGTGATGACACCTAAAATGTTAAATTTGATGTAATACTTATGGAGGATTTAGAGTGGGTAGGGGATGTGTAGATCAGGTGTTTACATTGAAGCATATATGTGAACAGTATCTAGATAAAGGTAGGGAAGTTTTTATTGCATTTATGGATTTAGAAAAGGCATATGATAGAGTTGATAGGGAAGCAATGTGGCAGATGTTTTAAGTATATGGAATAGGTAGTAAGTTACTAAATGCTGAAAAGAGCTTTTATGAGGATAGTGAAGTAGGGGGTGTGTGGACCAGGTGTTTACAGTGAAACACATAAGTGTACAGTATTTAGATAAGGCTAAAGAGGTCTTTGTGGCATTTATGGATTTGGAAAAGGCGTATGACAGGGTGGATAGGGGGGCAATGTGGCAGATGTTGCAGGTGTATGGTGTAGGAGGTAGGTTACTGAAAGCAGTGAAGAGTTTTTACGAGGAGAGTAAGGCTCATGTTAGAGTATGTAGGAAAGAGGGAAATTATTTCCCAGTAAAAGTAGGCCTTAGACAAGGATGTGTGATGTCACCATGATTGTTCGATATATTTATAGATGGGGTTGTAAGAGAAGTAAATGCGAGGGTCTTGGCAAGAGGCGTGGCGTTAAAAGATAAAGAATCACACATAAAGTGGGAGTTGTCAGAGTTGCTCTTTGCTGATGACACTGTGCTCTTGGGAGATTCTGAAGAGAAGTTGCAGAGATTGGTGGATGAATTTGGTAGGGTATGCAAAAGAAGAAAATTAAAAGTGAATACAGGAAAGAGTAAGGTTATGAGGATAACAAAAAGATTAGGTGATGAAAGATTGGATATCAGATTGGAGGGAGAGAGTATGGAGGAGGTGAATGTATTCAGATATTTGGGAGTGGAGCGGATGGGTCTATGAAAGATGAGGTGAATCATAGAATTGATGAGGGGAAAAGGGTGAGTGGTGCACTTAGGAGTCTGTGGAGACAAAGAACTTTGTCCTTGGAGGCAAAGAGGGGAATGTATGAGATTATAGTTTTACCAACGCTCTTATATGGGTGTGAAGCATGGGTGATGAATGTTGCAGCGAGGAGAAGGCTGGAGTCAGTGGAGATGTCATGTCTGAGGGCAATGTGTGGTGTGAAAATAATGCAGAGAATTCGTAGTTTGGAAGTTAGGAGGAGGTGTGGGATTACCAAAACTGTTGTCCAGAGGGCTGAGGAAGGGCTGTTGAGGTGGTTCAGACATGTAGAGAGAATGAAGCGAAAGAGAATGACTTCAAGAGTGTATCAGTCTGTTGTGGAAGGAAGGCGGGGTAGGGGTCGGCCTAGGAAAGGTTGGAGGGAGGGGGTAAAGGAGGTTTTTTGTGCAAGGGGCTTGGACTTCCAGCAGGCATGCATGAGCGTGTTTGATAGGAGTGAATGGAGACAAATGGTTTTTAATACTTCACATGCTGTTGGAGTGTGAGCAAAGTAACATTTATGAAGGGGTTCAGGGAAACCAGCAGGCCGGACTTGAGTCCTGGAGATGGGAAGTACAGTACCTGCACTCTGAAGGAGGGGTGTTAATGTTGCAGTTTAAAAACTGTAGTGTAAAGCACCCTTCTGGCAAGACAGTGATGGAGAGAATGATGGTGAAAGTTTTTCTTTTTCGGGCCACCCTGTCTTGGTGGGAATCTGCCAGTGTGATAATAATAATAAAAAAAAAGTGAGGCTCAGGTTAGGGTGTGTAGAAGAGAGGGATATTACTTCCCGGTAAAAGTAGGTCTTAGTCAGGGGTGTGTAATGTCACCATGGTTGTTTAATATATTTATAGATGGGGTTGTAAAAGAAGTAAATGCTAGGGTGTTCGGGAGAGGGGTGGGATTAAATTATATGGAATCATATACAAAATGGGAAGTGACAGTTACTTTTTGCTGATGATACTGTGCTTATGGGTGATTCTAAAGAAAAATTGCAGAGGTTAGTGGCCGATTTTGGGAGTGTGTGTAAAGGTAGAGAGTTGAAAGTGAACATGGAAAAGAGTAAGGTGATGAGGGTATCAAATGATTTAGATAAAGAAAAACTGGATATCAAACTGGGGAAGAGGAGTATGGAAGAAGTGAATGTTTTCAGATATTTGGAAGTTGATGTATCAGCGGATGGTTTATGAAGGATGAGGTTAATCATAGAATTGATGAGGGATAAAAGGTGAATGGTGCATTGAGGTATATGTGGAGACAAAGAACATTATCTATGGAGGCAAAGAAGAGAATGTATGAAAGTATAGTGGTACCAGCACTCTTATATGAGTATGAAGCTTGGGTTGTGAATGCAGCAGTGAGGAGGCGGTTGGAGGCAGTGGAGATGTCCTGTCTAAGAGCAATGTGTGGTGCAAATATTATGCAGAAAATTCAGAGTGTGGAAATTAGGAGAAGGTGTGGAGTTAATAAAAGTATTAGTCATAGGGCTGAAGAGGGGTTGTTGAGGTGGTTTGGTCATTTAGAGAGAATGAATCAAAGTAGAACGACATGGAGAGCGTATAAATCTGTAGGGGAAGGAAGGCAGGGTAAGGGTTGTCCTCGAAAGGGTTGGAGGGAGGGGGTAAAGGAGGTTGTGTGGGCGAGGTGCTTGGACTTCCAGCAAGCGTGCATGAGCATGTTAGGAGTGAATGAAGACGAATGGTATTTGGGACCTGACGAGCTGTTGGAGTGTGAGCAGGGTAATATTTAGTGAAGGGATTCAGGGAAACCGGTTATTTTATATAGCCGGACTTGAGTCCTGGAAATGGGAAGTACAATGCCTGCACTTTAAAGGAGGGGTTTTGGGATATTGGCAGTTTGGAGGGATATGTTGTGTATCTTTATACGTATATACATGTACTTCTAAACTGTTGTATTCTGAGGACCTCTGCAAGAACAGTGATTATATGTGAGTGAGGTGAAAGTGTTGAATGTTGATGAAAGTATTTTCTTTTTGGGGATTTTCTTTCTTTTTGGGTCACCCTGCCTCGGTGGGAGACGGCCGACTTGTTAAAAAAAAAAAAAAAAGGAATTACATATGTGCAAGGTTGATCAGAGAGCACTTTCCGTAGTAGCAGTTTCACCCACTATGAGGCCTATTTTAGGCTAATTTCAGTTGTCAAACTGACCCTGTTTTGCTAATATGTGTTCTATATTTTTAATTGCTCATATGAAACTGCCCTTTAAACCATCAGAAATACTTTATTAAGAGCCCCTAAGTCAGTAATTTGGCCTATTTTACATTACTGTCAAAAAATCCAATTTAAAAAGAGTTCAAAACAAAAACTGTAGGTGTTCCAGCCACTAAAGCAATCTTCCAGCCACTTAAGCAACCTTAAAAGTGCTTGATGGTGCTGTGATTTAAAAAAAATTTTGAAATGATAAACCATTTTTGAAGGTGATGATACAAAAAAAATAATTAAAAATTTGAATGAAAATTTATGCAGCTGTGCAGGTGCAAAGTTGACAGTCGGGTGCATTTTACAAATCAGGGATTTCACCCAATTTGAGACCTATTTTAGTCAACCCATTGCTCAATTCGACCCAATCACTAGCTATTTTGCTAGTATGCCTTCCATTCTGAGTGCAAGAAAGTGCCTGTTCAGCTGCACAAAAGTAGTTAATTTGACCAATTTTACATAAAATTCAACAAATTCTAATTAAAAAAAAAAAAGAGTTCAAAATAAACACTATATGCATTTCAGCCACTAAAGCAACATTCCCTTTGTTCATTAATCATATCCCCAGGTCTCTCCTGTAAAACTTACCATCAAAATGGAGGGCACACAAAATCTAACTACATTATCCTATTTCTCGGCTAATAAAATATAACTAAGATTAACAGACCAAGGGAAAGAAGCCTTACCCTTTTTCAGGAAAATTGACAAAAATGGAATATTTTTCTCCATGTTGAGGCCTATTTCAAGCCACTGTTTGGCCAGAATCCGACCAAAGAGTTTTCCGTTTCACTAATACACCATTCTACTTAAAAATTTAGGACTTTGTTAAAAAAAAATCATCTGATCTCTCAATACTAACCAAATCAACCAAAACAATTTCAAATTAGTTATATTATGTGACCTCTAGTCTTTAAAACATCTGCCAATCCATGAAATATTGCTGCTTGAACCATTAATTGTAATATAGTTTTTATGATGTGCAACTTCAAGATTATTATTCTTATAAACCTTCACCTTGATTACCTCACATTAGTATTAAGATTAAATAAGATTGTAATAAAGTTAACCACTATTATCTTGTCTAGTTTTAAGTAGTTACTATGTATTAGGATTAGTATGCCTGAAATGCCCCAGCATGATAGTGGCTTTCTTTGTACTTAGCAAACAAAAATTGTAATTACACACCTTTACAAAGAAATAAATCTTTATCTTTATCTATATTCTGTTAAGAAACATTCATTAAAACGATTAGAAAACACCCTAGACAATGGCTCAGAATTGATGTTTTGAACCAAACAAAAGGTCAGAGTTTATTAGCTTTTCTAATCATGTACTGTGTGGACAGGATTTTTTTTTTGAACTGCTGTCACCTGCTGCAAAGACCCATTCACTCATGTCTACACCAAAATTTGCTGCTTACTGCATATTTGAGGGCACTGTGATTTATACATAGATTCTATGGTGCCAACACTGATCCCACTGATGTACTGACAGTTTAAGGGTTAAAGGAATTTAATAAAATATAAGTTAGAGCTAAACAGGGAGTCAGTTTTCTTTAATGAACAATAGTGGAAAGCAAAGAAAAGTTAGTAGTAATTTAATTCACTGTGGGAAAACTGCTGTTGTTCATGAGCTAGCTTTGACACATGCCAATTTGGTAGAAGTTACAATGAAGGGGACTTCTTTGGGAGGAAATTGTTAAAGTGGCTTCAAGGCATGAAACTTTCAACTGATGATATGGCCAATGTGGCAAAACACATTGTTATTAATATAATTTTGTTTGGTTTTTGCAGAGCTGTGGCACTAGTCCAGACAGTGAAGAAAGTGTACTTCTTCAGTTGGCTTCAGTTCCCTCGACTGGGTCTCTCTCCTCTCGTGCATCCAGGCTCTCACATTCTGCCATGAGCATTCTGGCAGCTACACTCACCACTAAAGCTGATGTTGTAAGATCATTACTAGCTTTTGTTTCAGTGATGTGACAGTAAGAAAGAAAAACCTATAACAAATGTCACCACAAATGATTTATCTGTATGTAATTAAAAGGCAATTTAAGCAGCAAAACGTTTATTTAACCTATTTCAAGTTATAAATACTTGCTGTGGATGAAATGTCATAAACTAAAGATTTTTCCTACTTAAAGTGTTTTTGAATTACCACTTGTTAGTTTATATCACTGTCTACTTTTTCTACCCTTAGCTTGTTGTATGTGACATTTATGTTATAGACCTATTTGCTTTTTCTTTTTATATCTCAAAGGTAATCTTCCAAAAAGTAGGGTGACCTGCTAAAACCCACTTTCATTATGGCTTTGTCAGCCACAGTGACAATCACACGCTCATTGAGTTTCTTAAAATACTAACAATGAAAATTGAGAACAAAAGCGAAAATTTTTATTTTCAGTCAGTATTTTTTTTTTTTTTTAAGATCGGCACAATTGATGAGAGGACAGTAATATTGCATTGCTGGTGGTATCTAGGAGTATTCGGTTATTCTATTATCATTAAGTCTACTATTTCCTTGATAATTATTCTTACCATAGATTTCATACAGTCTTGTGACTTTTATTATATAATTTTGATAAATTTATCTTTCATTGACTTTCCTTAATTTATTTTTCTCTGGCTGGCAGATATAAATGTGAGGCAAAAGTTCCAGTATTAATTTGATAATGTAGCTTGTAGAAATATTTCTTATTCATTACTTTTGACATTCTAGGTGTCAGAAGAAGCAGATGCCCCGGAAGATGAAATTGGTTCAAATGGGCTTGATGATTTCACAAGAAGACTCACTGAAGATGATGCTCGAGTTCTAGTGGATCTACTGAAGCTGGCTGTTGCTGGTCGAGCTGGTCCACGAGCTGCTCCTGCTATCACAAAAGTTTTGATAGGTGTGATAAGATAAAACTGAAAATTTATAGTGTTTATGTACTCTTTGAAAATGGAGATTTTACTGTAATATATTTCCAAGTAAATTTAAACATTAGTAAAATATGTTCTTTGTTTAAAATGTGGTTTCCCTTAACAGTTCTAAAACCCCATTAACTCTAGAGCTAATAATGTTAAACCTTAATATCCACATATTTCTGGCAAGACAACTGTTGAATGAATGATAGTGAATGATGAGTATTTTTATTTAGGACACCCTTTTTCAGTGGAAAACATCTGATGTGTAAAAAAGAAACTATATATTGAGGGAATATGGACAAATTAAATGTATTGGATTTGTCAGCAGATGGATCTGTGAAATTGATTAAGAGAAACAGGTAGGTAGTGTGTTAAGGCATCTCTGGAGACAAAGAACTTTATCCATGGAGGCAAAGAAAGGAAAACATACAAGGATATAGTAGTACTAACACTTATATGGGTGTGAGGCATGTGTTTTAAACATTGTGGTGAGGAGGAGACTGGAGGTAGTGGAGATGTTATGTTTTAGGGTAATACAGGAGGGCTCCGCTTTATGGCGCTTCACTAATACGGACATTTAAGATTATGACCAAAAATTTGTTTATACATCTCCTTGATTTGCTTTTACAGCATCCACACAAAACTATGTTTGTTTACATCCTCTGTGAGCTCTGCGTCTCTTGAGTACGGAAACTTCAAAATTTCAAGTGTTTTCAAGTTATTGCGTATGCTATGTATACTCTGATAATTGCACTTACGTGTACCTGTACCTAAATAAACTTACACACTGTGCTGGCATGCAGGTACACATTAACCTCTTAACTGTCCAAATGCAGATCTATGTTCTTACCGCTGGCACTCCAAATGTAGATTTACGTTTTATTTTTCTTGCCTCCAAATTTGGCACAATTGGCCTGACATGCCTGGTCAGCATAGAATGACTCTTAACCCTTGGTGTGTGCAGTATTAAAAAAATCTGGGACAACTTAGTACCTTGTGGGAGCACCAGATCAATTGAGCACCAGTTAGAGCAAACAGCACGGCAAATACCAAGGATTTACTGATGTCATGTTAGATTAACACTCCCCTTTTAAGAGGAAAGTGATGTTGACCCTGAGTTTAGTGACTTTGAGGTGGATGTGGCCACAAGTGGTTGCGGAAATATCAAAAACCTCAATAATATCCCATATGCAACATTTGTGCAACATCCTTTCAATTTTGGTACAGCTGGTAGTGTCATACTGCCAGAATGTCTTATAACCTAAGCCCTAAGTAAAAAGGAACAATTCTGGAATGTGTAATACATGTTCGGCAGGCTGGCTGGCTGAGTGGCTGTCTCTATCTCTGTCTGTCTGGCTGTATCTGTCTCTGTCTATGTCTTTCTCTCTATCTTTATCTCTATCTCACAGGAACACATACATAAATACAATTATGCATAGTGTAAATTACCTAGGATAACCCAAAAAAATCTAGACAAATTGCTACACTGTACTTGGCTGACCAGCTGGCTGGCTGGCAGCTGACTGGCTGATTGGCTGTCTCTATCTCCATCTGTCTGGCTGTACAGTGGTACCTTGAGTTATGAACTTAATTTGTTCCAGAAGGCTGTTTGAGTGCCAATACCGAATGAATTTGTTCCCATAAGGAATAATGTAAATAAGATTAGTCTGTGTCAGACCCCCAAAAATACACTTACAAAAGCACTTACAAAAATACACTTAAATAATTGTTCGAGTTGGGAGCTGTTCAAAACTCGAGGTACCACTTTATCTATGTCTCTCTATCTCTTTCTCTGTATCTCTGTCTCTATCTCATAGGAACACATACATAAATACAATTATACATAGTGTAAATTACCTAGGATAACCCAAAAAATCTAGACGAAGTGCTATACTCTGCTTGTAGATCTCATACATAATAATAATGACTGGCAATTGGCAAGTAATACGCATTTTCACTTGTTTAACCCTTTGAGGGTTTTCGTCGTACTAGTACGTCTTACGCGTAGGGGTTTTTGACGTACTAGTACTCATAAATTCTAGCGGCCTCAAATCTAGTGGGAGAAAATTGGTAGGCCTTCATATGAAAGAATGGGTCTATGTGGTCAGTGTGCACAGTCTAAAAAAAATCCTGCAGCACACAGTGCATAATGAGAAAAAAAAAACTTTGACCATTTTTTTTTAATAAATCAGCGACTTTGCAGTGTATTTTCGTATGGTATTTATTGTTGTATTCTAGTTTTCTTGGTCTCATTTTATAGAATGGAAGACATATTATAGAAATTGAGATGATTTTGACTGGTTTTACAAAGAAAGGTGCCTTGAAATTGAGCTCAAAGTAGCAGAAATGTTCGATTTTTACTAAACTTCAAAAGTAAACAAATTGTGCCAAGCGTGCAATACACGTCAACTGGTGAGTCTAATATTCTTTCACAAGTGCACCAATAATATTTATACCATTTTTTACACTAATGCAGTAGTCTGCATAACAGTAAATCTTATATTTTTTTGAAAATAAAAATTCAAAGTGGAAAGCAAAAGAATATAAGAGGGGCCTTGAGACATGACTAATGACTAGAGGAAATGTCATTTTAGTGCCAGGAATGTCTATCTTGTTTATTCTGGACCCTATTCGGAAATTGGCATCTTTTGAAATTTGTGTGAAATTGGCAAAATTGCTAAATTCTGACCACTGTACTGGATAGTTGAATTTCATAAATGAGTGGTTTCTTGCACCCATTCGATAGAAAAAATGGAGTTCTAGCGAAATATTTATGTTTTTTGTCGACTAGTACAGTGAAATTGGCCGAAAATGGGGCTCAAAATGGGCAAAATCGCCGATGCGTAAACATCGCCGAGACCGCTAACTTTGCGAGAGCATAATTCCGTAAGTTTTCTATCAAATTTCAAACTTTTGGTGTCTTTATGATCGGGAAAAGATTCTCTATCTTTTCATAAGAGAAAATAATATTTTTTTTTTTTTAAATTTGGCCGACCCTGAGAACGAGTTTCGGAGAGGGCCTGTCGACCCTCAAAGGGTTAAGAAGCAGACGTGATCGTGTGTAATACCAGTTGGTTCGTGAGCAACTCTCTGAGACGAGAGACAAGCAGACAGAAAGACAGACACACTCAGGCAGACAGACAGGCAGACACACAGGGCTAGACAGACAGTCAGAGAGCTAAACAGACAGAGGTAGACAGACAAACAGACAGACACACATGTTTATGCATAACTGTAGTGGGGGTTCGTAGGAGATATGATGATTGGAGTAAAACACACTTGTTGGATGGTAACACTTATATTAGCAGAGTATGAAGGGAGAGAGCCAACCTGCTGTGTCTTGCCTGGCGTAGACCTATGCGGGAACTGAGAGAGTTACAGGGATTCTCACGCACACATGCGCATCATGTGACGTCACACATGCTAGTCGCTGAGCCTACTGAAAGAGAGCCTAAATATATACATGGATACAACCTACAATATACTACACAAGTATAAGTATGGGGAGTTCAGTAGCTATACTGACATAACAGTGAAAATATATAAAGCCAAGGCTGCAGTGTATGCTCATCAAATGTCACCATTCCTGCACTCTCAGCATTGTCATGCTTCAAGGGAACTTACTATTATTATTATTATATACTCCTGCATATCCAAAACATTGCTGGGACCTATAAGTACTATGTATATATTTCTAGACAATAGTTTGTGACTAAGGTAGGTGAAAATGTTCACCTGTCACTGTGTTTGTGACTATTTGAGTACTATTTCAGTACCTAATATTAGTGTCAGAACGAAGATTTACTGTGAAATCACAAGAACTACTACAAATTGTAATCATCAGAACATAAAAATTATACAAATTAATCCTTTCAAGGTTTCCGACGTACTAGTACGGCTTATGCGCCAGGGTTATTGACGTACTAGTACGCATAAATTCTAGCACCTTCAAATTGAGCAGGAGAGAGCTGATAAGCCTACATGTGATAGAATGGGTCTATGTGGTAAGTGTGTGCAGTAGGAAAAAAATCTGCACCTGCATAGTATTGTGGGAATGGTAATTCAGTCCACATGTGCAACTAAGCAAAACGTAAGGAATACCTCACTCTCCAGCAGTCTGAGTGGTGGGGATAGGCAGTAAGAGGGGGGGAGGCAGTGTGGGTAGTAGGGAAGGGAGCTGGCTGTCTGGCTGACTGGCTGGCTGTCTGGCTGGCTGTCTGGCTGGCTCTCTATCTGGCTGTCTAGCTGGCTGTCTGGCTCTCTATCTGGCTGTCTAGCTGGCTGTCTGGCTGGCTGGCTGACTGACCTGACCGACCTGACCGACCTGACTGACCTGACCGACCTGACCGACCTGACCGACCTGACCGACCTGACCGACCTGACCGACCTGACCGACCTGACCGACCTGACCGACCTGACCGACCTGACCGACCTGACCGACCTGACCGACCTGACTGACCAGACCGACCAGACCGACCAGACCGACCGACTGACCGACCTAACTGACCTGACTGCCTTCCTTTCTTCCTTCATGCTTCCATATGTCGGTAAGAATTGATCACAACAATTTTTTGGGGGTCTATAATACTCACAAAAAGTATGCTCTATGATTTCATAATTTTTTTTTTTTCCGACCCTGTGAACAAGTTTGGGAGAGGGCCTGTCGACCCTGAAAGGGTAAAAAAAAAAAAAATGAGAAAAAGGTATATCGGCAACACTTCTGCAAGCAGCATTGCTTCATGTTGCCTTCAGGTCAGCGACAAGTGCCGACTTTGTGGCCTTATATCTCCATAAGTACATACTGACTAGAATTTTTTTTTATTATCACACTGGCCGATTCCCACCAAGGCAGGGTGGCGCAAAAAAAAAAAACTTTCACCATCATTCACTCCATCACTGTCTTGCCAGAAGGGTGCTTTACACTACAGTTTTTAAACTGCAACATTAACACCCCTCCTGCAAAGTGCAGGCACTGTACTTCCTA